CACAAATCAATCTGATTTCTAAATTTAAGCTTTCACAAATGGAAACAAACAAAAACCCGAGCTGGCACCCAAGCGCCTCAGCCACTCGAGCTAGTTAAGCGACTTACAGCCAGCTGCTGCTGCAGGGACTTGACTTGGTGCTGCAGAGTTTCAACCAGCTGACTCTGCCTCTTGGTGGGATTCCCGCTCATGTAGGGAAGTTGTGAAATGCCATTGAGGGCCTGTTTCAGTCTTTCTACATCATTAAGCAGCTCAGTTATCTTAGAGGGAAAAAAATAGGAGAGAGACATTTTTTTACTTATTCATTTATATCAGTCACTGCTGCAGAGCAATCTTCTTATTTGAGATGTAAAACTGAACTATATACTAGATAACTGAAGTTTGGATATTGTCAAAATTGTAAGGAAGGATATAGGTATTCAGAATGTGCCTTAACTTCTTGAATTAAACTCTTCAGTACATGCCGTTACAAGGGCATCACCAAGTGAAGGACAAACAGCAAGGATTATCAACAGTTTTGAGTATTACACGAGTGTTCTAGACTTTGACATCCTCTGTAAGTGCCTTGGAAGGTACATAAACCATCTTCCAGGTCAGGCTGAAGCACAGGAAAGTAAGCTAGTTTCCTCCAATAAAATTTGAGCTTCTAGATTTCTGTTAAGTCTAGAATTAACTTCTGTCCTGTGTTCCTCTCAAAAATATTCATTATTTTAAGCTAGCTTGTCTTATTAAAAAATTATCAAAACCCCATTATTGCTGCTGAGTCAGAACAGACTCATCACTCACCCGTCGCTGCTTTCTGAGGAAATAAACAAGCTGGGAGGAGGCTGTCCATCTTTCTCACCCAGTAGGAACTCACTGCCTCTGGGTTAGCAGTGCAGTTCTCTCTGGTGACAGACTACATCACAGAGCTCCCGAAGGAGAAACTAAACTAGAGAGACTTTGGGATCATGGAAAGAGTACAGGCTGCATGGTCACAGTCGTCTGACATTTATTCGCTGTGTGCACTTGGCTAATTCTTTTACTTTCTGAGCCTTACTTTATCAATGAAAGAAGTAAAACCTGTCCAAGTTAAGGAAATTACCTGTGATCATAAATACATGGCTAGCTCATAGCATGTGACAATAAGTAGATCCGATGCTGATTGTGAGCTGCCTCAAAGTCAAACTGCTCCATAAAGCTGGGACCGTTCAGGAGCAGATCACCAGGCCTGTCTTCAAAGGCACCTCTGGGAAGTTCTGCACCAACTTTTCAGCTAGTAGTTGAGCACTTAACCATCTGTGCTACCCAGAGACTCCCAAGCAGATAACTCGAATTCTACATTATCATATTCATAACCACTTTTCAAATAAGCTGTACTCTGTTTTACTTCAGAATTATTTTGCACACCAGTAGAAACTGGAACAGTCCCTTTGTCAATACTTTTGTAAATCTTTTGCAATACTATTTGTTGTTTTTGCATATCACTGAGGGAGGAGCAACTCATGGCTGACCCTCCAGTGGGGTTTTCAGAGACAATAAATGTCACGGGAATTGATTGCCCATCTCTATCCTGCAGAGCTGCCAGGGGATTTGAACAGTGTGTCTTTGGGTTGATAACCCAATTCCTTATCTCTAGGCCACCAAAGCTCAATACTATAGCAAAGGCAAAAATGCTTCCACCCGGTTGATCCCAACTCCCAGGGACCATGCAGGCAGGGTGGAACTGCCCTAACAGGCTGGGTGTACGTGACTGTACTCTCTATGGAAGCAGATGGTCACATCAAATGGGGAGTTCAAACTATAAACCTTTCAGTTAGCGGCCATGTGCTTACTACTGTCCACCAGGGCTCCTTAATACTAACACAGAGAGTCCTAGCCCCCTCCTCCTCTACCAGTTTTGTGTTGTATTTTTCAGCTCAGAACCACACTGACGACCTGTGTGCCTACCTTATTATCTTTCTCTTCGATCTGTTTGGCAGATTCCTGGATTGTCCTCTCGAGCTCTGAGATTGTGGTCAAGGACTTGTCACACCGTTCTTTCCGGTCCTGGATCTCTTGCTCGATGCTCAAGTGCAGTAACTCCTTCGCATCTCTCGCAGACAGGTCCTTCTTTTTGGCATGCAAAACCTCCTCCCGCGCATCCTCGTATTTTCTATTCAGGTTGGCCAGTTTATCATTTAAGTTGGAAATCTGTGTCTCCAAATCACTTTTCATTGTCTTAAATTTTGACAAATCAACAACCTCTCTTGTCTCTAATTTTTTCAGTGCTTGCTTCGTCGTATGAACCTCAGACTGGAGTTTGGAGACTTCTTCTGTTTTATGCTGACTTTCTTCTTCCTTTTCTTTCAGGCTAGTTTTCATGACTCCGACCTCTTTCTCCAAGGCTTCCTTGATCTGTAAATGCTCCGCCAAGGGCACAGAAGAGTTCTTTTGATTCTCCAGCATCTGATGCAGTTTGGCCACCATCTGCTGCTCTTTCTCGTAACACCTCTGCTTATTCTTGAGTTCTTCCTTTAGAGTCTCAATTGTGCCCGTGAGTGACTTTTTCAGAGCCTCAACCTGCTCCAATGGAACGGGCTGTTTCTGGAGAAGCATTTGGGCTGCAAGTATCTCAGAGGTCTGTTTGGCATTTTCTTCCGCTAGCTTCTCTTTTGCGTCCTTTACCTCCGTGTATTTCTGTAACAGGTCTTTTAACTGTTGGTTTAAGTCTTCTGTTTTCCTGCTCGATGTTCTTTCCAGTTCACGAGACTTCTCAATGAGCGCATTCTTCTCTTTCAAGTCTTTCTGAAGGGAGAGAATCTCCTTCTTGAGAGTTATAATCTCTTGCTTGCATTTCTTGGCCTCCTCTTCCCTGACACTGGATTTCTGTGTCTGCTCTGATAATTGTTCTTTTAGCTCTTTCTCAGCTGCTTTAAATTTTCTCTCACACTCTTCCAAGCTGGTAACTGGAGTGTATTTCAGCTTGATGCATTCCTGGAGCATGTCAAGTTCCTTCTTCTGGGCTTCCATTTCGGCGTGCAGCCTCCCAATCTCGTCTTGGCCTTTCCTGTAGTTAGCCAGGATTTCAGCACTGCTCTCCTCAGCCTTTCTCATGCTCTTGTTTACAACCCGCAGCTTCTCCTCGTGTTCCTTCAGGCTGATGTACTCAGCTTTCATCTGGCTCTGAGCGTTTTCCAGGTTTCTTTTTAACACACTGTTCTCGTGTTTTAGTTTTAGAAAGTCTTGGCTTTTATCTTCAAATTTTTTCTTCATTTCTAATAGTTCTCTGTTTGTTTTGTCTAACGTGCTGTTCAGTGACGTTTTCGCCTCCTCGTGGGTTTTAACGGACACATACTGATTACTGATGGTCTTTTTCAAATTGGTGTTGTCGGACATGAGCGCGTGTATTTTATCTTGGTCTTCACCACATTTTTTATTAAGGTCAGACAGCTGCCTCTTAAGTTCGACAATACTGGATTTCAGAGCCATGGTCTCTTTTTCATGTTTCTCAGGAGGGATGAACGCGGATTCCAGGTGGCTAATGTTCTTACTTAGGCTGTCATTTTCCAACAGTAACTTCTCAATTTCCAACTTTTTGTCCGAGTATTTTTGGGTTACATCTAAAAGCTTTTTATTCAAATCATCAACCATCGCATCGTGTGACTTCTTCATGTCTTCACTCACTTTCAAAGGCACATAATTACTTTTCATGTCCACATTTAGGTTGTGCACTTGCTGGCCGAGGAGCTTGTTGTCCAGCTGCAGCTTCTCGGCATCCTTCTGCAGCGCCTGGTTCTTGGCGGTCAGCTCGGTGACCTTCCTCCCCAGCTCGCCCGACTGCTGCTCCAGCCTGCTCCGCAGGTGCTCGTGCTCCTCCGGCTTGACGTGCTGAGCAAGCCGGCTCTGAAAGTTCTCAAGCTCTCTCTTCAAGTGCCTGATTTCACTACGAGATTTTTCATTTTCTCTTTCTGTATCTGCTAATTTTTTTGCCTTCTCGTTCACTTCATGTGATAACAAGCTCTTCATGTTTTCAAACTTCTCTATGGGCACCGAACGGGCTAATTTTGCTACCAGTTCTTTTAACTGGCCTTCCAGCTCCACAACCTTCCTTCCCTTCTTCTCTTGCTCCATGTCACACGCACTAAACTCCTTCTGCAACCGCTTATTTTCTTCTCGCAGTCTGCCTTCTTCCCGCCTAAACTCTTCCACTAACATTTCATTTTGCTTCATTTGGTTTCTTAATTTTCCTACTTCTGCTGACGCACCTTCGTATTTTGTTCTCACATCTTTCAGCTGATCCTTCAGTTCCTCTGTGAGTCTGTTATTCCCCATCGCTGCTTCACTCGTCAAGTGCTCTTTAAGGGCGAGGAAATGTGTCTGCATTTGCTTCACTTTACCTTCCGACTCGTACATTCTTTTCTGCACATCTTTTAATGCGTCTTCCAGCTGCTTTATCTGCTCGTCTGAGTCTTCCTTGACTCGCTCGCACTCGAGGGCTAACGCTTTGCATTCCGCCACCTTGTGAGCCAGTTCATTTTGGAGCTTGAGTCTGTCTTGTTTCACCGAGTCACAGAAAGTTCGCATTGTTTCCAACTCCTTCTTTAACATTTCATTTTCAGAATATGAGGCTTGACTGGGTAAAGCAAGCTCCAGTGGTCTTAGCATAGATCTGCTCTGCATGTGGGCTGGCATCCCGGAGGAAGTACACTGAAAAGGAGGACAAAAGAGGGCATTAATCACAAAAGCCTCAAGAAGACACTTAGCCATATACTTCTCTACCAAGCGGCCCGTATGTTGAAAAAAATAAAGTACTAATTTTTGAGAGAAGACAAAGACTGTTGAGGTTATGGTTTCTTTTCTAAGTGGTGATATTTTAGGAATTATATTTACCTGAACCTATTTCTGACAGAACAAAGAAGGAAAAGACTTGTTACCTCTAGGTCCTTTTCTTCTCTCCTTCTTTCCCCTATTTATGATCCCTCTCCATATATGAATATCAGTTTTTTAAAAATGTATCTTCTATTCTGTTTTATGGTACAAAATATGCTTCTAAACCAAAACTTCAACTGCTCTCCAGTAAACTCTGACTCGTGGTGACTTTCCATTGGTTTCTTGAGGGTATCCTTAGTGAGAGGAGCCTGCTTCATCGTTCTCCTACAGGACACCTCGTGGATTTGAACTGTTGATCTTTCAGTTAGCAGTCTAACACTTTACTTACTATGCCACCAGGGCTCCTTTATACTGTGCTTGGAACTTTGAAACAAAACAAAAAAACCGAAACACTAGAACTCTTGAACAAGCACTGCAATTCTAAATCAAATATTTTCACAGAATGATATATCTTTTAACATCCAATAAAAATTTAATGAGCATTTTCATTGTTAACTACAATGAAATGTTGATTGAATTTTAAAATGACCACCATAATATGCAAAAGCAGCATAAGAGTTGTCAATAGAATGCTTGTTGATTCATAAAGAAAGCAAACTTTTCACTCAAATAAGAGGATTAATTAATGACACGTGATCATAAATACAGCTTGACTAATGTTTTGTTTCTTCTGATACATTCTAATAGAAAATATGATTAAATTTTTCAGTGAAACAATTTACAAATATCAGAACACATAATCATAACAGGCTAAATTGAATTTGTTTTTTCCATACAGCCTATTAAAATAAAGAGGTTCTTTATCAAAATACTGGTCGACTGATATAAGCTTCATCCACTGAAATTCAACAGACCTTTTTATTGTTGCTCATATTAATTGGAACTGCCTTTCACAGGACCAGCAGGTAAAGAATTGATGGCACAGAATCATTTCCAAGCCACAGTCTGCTTCTAAATTATCTTTCAGTTTACCAATTATCTTTGGATTAAAATGGCTATAATTTACCAACAAATTATTACATTGCTTCCCAACATCAATGCTTATCTTATTACAACCAAATATTTACCTAATCTTAAATACTATTCAATTGACAGCCATTCTCTTGGTTTAGAAAATTGGAATTTTTCATCTTGAAAAGGGCTTAGGTATTCATTTTGGCTACCTTAATCTGCCTACAGATGAGGATATGTAAAAACGTCCTTAGCAAGCCATATGTCCATTTGTGGTACACTCAGTCTCTCACAAAGGGACTCAGAATGCCAATGCTATGTCCACCAGAAAGGAAAAGTAAGGAGAGGATAGGTTGGAAAACCAGCCAAAACTTTACCTCTTGGAAGCCTTCCTTATTTTGAAGTAAAAGAGTAAATGTGAAATGTAGAATATATTTGAATGTAAGGACAAATCTATCTGGAAGCCAAAACAAATTAGTTTTTTATTATTCATGCCTGTGCCTCCCTTATATGGGCAAACACAAGAGTTAACTGAGTGTTGATAATGATTAAAAACTTAAAATCAAAGACAACAGAATTGCCAAGCCAATCTCTTACGTAAGCTACTACCATTAGAAACACCCTAGAGGGCACCAGAAACAACAATATCTCTTTTTATTAAATCCAGTAGAGCAAAACTAATTTTTCTTTGATGTGGAAATTTTATTAAATGTATATACACTTAATATAAAACGCTGTTTCCTCTTTTAACATATCTTCCCCCCATTAAAAGTTACATTACCTGTGAGTCTGTCATGTACATCTGACCTTGTTTAAAAAGTGTATCTTCTTTTCCTAAATAAGTACAAATAAATGACATTTTAATCACATATCTCTACAAAGTAGACTAAAATGAATTCGATCTATCATCTCACCTTTGTTATTCAAACAAAAAAGAAGTGTAGTTTACAGCATAAAATTATTCTGCTTTGTTGTTGTGAGCAACCTAGATGATTCTGACTCACAGTGATGCCATATGACAGAGTAGTACTGTTCCAAAGGGGATTCTAGGCTGCTTGGTAGAGTAGATAGTCAATGACAAAGAGGAAAACCTTTAAAAAGATGGATTGGTTCACTGGCTACAACAATAAGCTCAAGCACAGCATGGAGAGTTAGAAAGGCCCAGGCTGAGTGGTGCTTTGTTCTGTCAAACACAAGATCTCTAAATGTCAGAGCTCATTCAACAGCATCTAACAACAGCAATCTTTACAGGATTTATACAAGCAGTCAAGCACTTAACTACTGGACCACTACGGCTCCTTATTCTGGTTTTAAAATGTTCATAATATTCCTTATTATTTTTATAAACATAGGAAACCACTTAAGAGTCTCCTGGAAAGTTGATTTTAGCAATAGGAGACTGTAAGACTAAATAAACCACATTATTATTATAAAGTATGTATCTTAAAGTATTGTTCTTTGTAACTCCGAGGACAAACATTACTACTGCACCTAAGCAATTAAAATTAGATTTTACGAATAAATGCTTAAAATTTTATGAATAAATGCTTAAACTTGAAATAAGAGTGAAGATTAAGCATACATAGTTTTTAAATAATTGTTACGGTGTTTCTAAATTTAAAATGCTTGCATTGGGACTAAATCTCAAAATTTCCCCAAGTTGGAAAATTATGTTTATGCTTCTTTCTGTGCTAGACTTTTCATATAAAACAAGCCCCAGATACTATAGGAGAGGAACATCTACTAACTAACAAGCAGTCTGGAGAACTCATACAATATGCAATCCAAAAAAATAGGTGACTAAGGCAAAAACAGAGCCTCATGATGACCTGATTTTATATCAGAGGCTGTAGCACTAGTCTTAACCTGCACCTGGCTCCATCTGCACAGAAGTAGTTGGATGAAGTTTTACAGCATGAATGTCAGATACAGTAGAGCAAGCTTAAAAGGCATGAACAATGTTTCTTTGCTAGAATGGAGTGAACAGCAATGATCTATTCTTTTATACTTACGGTTACTGAAATGATTTCCTGATGCTAAGTGATCACTCTGAAAGGAGAAGTACAAATTAAAACATTTTAGATGGAAATAAAGGCTTCATTTTAAGATGTATCTACTTTAGTTCTCAACACTTCAGTCATTATAAGCACATCTTTGGCATTCTTCGCTTCTCCTAAGCATTATTCTACTTGAACCCACAGAAAGACATCACATGAGTGACTATCAGAGAGATCAGTTGGGAATAAACTAATTCACTAAGCATTTTAATAAAAGCAGCAAGTGTTTCAAGGAAAACACTTGATTGTTCAAAAGAGAAGAAAAATGAGCCCCAAATGAACAGAAACAATTTTCAATACACAGTGTTTGCTGCTTCTTTACCTCAAAGAAGGTAAATGGCACATTCACATCAAGGACTCATTTTATCTTACCACTATTGGGAGGAGCAGCTCTACTTCCCTGACAATGAGATATGAGTGTAGCCTCCAAAAGGAGACAAGGAGCAGAACAGACAACTGAGGCAAGGACAGTTAATAACAAATCCTCCAATGCATCAGTCAGACGGGGAATAAGAAACAAACTTTTCAGATCTCTGAATATGCTCGGATGGCTCCTCTTCCCAATTAACCCAAATACAAAGTAATATATGTATGTATGTATATGTATGTACATGTATGTATGTATATATGTATGTATATATATATGTATAATATATATTATATATATATATTCAAACATACTTCTAGAACAAGTTATGAATTTACTTCAGTCTATGTTTATATATTTGTATAGATCGGTAATAATAACTTAATCTTCAAGCTGGTTCATACTAGTGCACAGCCTTACAACTAAATAAATACTATTTTCACCAATCCTTACTGGTTCAAAGGTTTGGGAAAAGATCTGTATGCCTTCTTAATCTCTCTGTTTCTTAAAAGGTCTAACTGGGTCCAATCATGAAGTTGGCAGTGGAAGCCTGTTGTGGGGTGCCCTCTGGTTGACCTGTACTCACAGCAAGCCAATACACAAGGGAATGAATGCTGTGCAATCCTGTGCCATCCTCACGACCCCCACTGTACTTGAATCTATTGCTGTAATCACTGTGTCAATCCCTTTCGCTGACCATCTACTTGTGTAAACATGATGTCTTTTTCTAGAGACTGCCCCCCCCAGTAACGTGACCAAGTATATAAGACAAAATCACACGTACTTCTGAAGGTGGCTGGTAACAGAAAGCTAGCGCCCTGAACACTGCTCAGTGCTGGTAATGTTCTGTTCTTTGGTCTGGGTGGATTTGATGTGTGAAAATTCCTCAACTTACATAATTAAAATAGGCACTAAAGTATACAAATATGAAGTAGACAGCTTTGTTCAAATAATATGGAAAAATAAACCTAACCAAAACTGCATATGAGTCTTACTAACACACATCATTCCAAAATGTTCTAATTCATATACACTCAAACTCTTTCTGAAATAATCTTCAAATACCACTATTTATTATGATGATAATGCTTTCTTATTTTTGCCATCATCATAATCATCACAAGCTCCTATGCATGAGCTTGAAAAGGTGAAAACAGACAACGAGGAAAGTTAAGGAAGAGAAACTAGAATGAAACGAAATGTCAGCTCTACGTAGCTATATACGTTTCCTTTATTTCATTTAACCACCAACTCTACAGAGAAAGGGATACTCATTCAAATTTTTCTAAAGAGGCAACCAATTAAAAGACTTCAAACAAATTAGTTACTTGAGGTCATATTACAAAGAATAATCATTCAAATTCAAGTTTTCTACCCTCTGTAAGTTATGTGGAATAATTTAATGAAGTTTTCTTTACCTCAAAATACTTAAATCTATTTTTCAAAGCCTCAATCATTCTCAGGCTGTCTTCATGTTGCTTTTCTTTAGTTGCCAAAAGGGACTTCAGCTTTTCTTTCTGAAATGGAAAGAAATGAAAACACAACATAATTATCCTGCATTTTAAATTGGATTACAATGTGTTGTAGAAAATGCAAATTAAGAACTGAGTGAATTCCAATGGATGAATTCTTCAAGCTGGTGGGTTTTATTTATTGTTGTTATTATGTACTGTTGAGTCAGAATCGACTCATAGCTGACCCTCCAGCAGGTTTTCAGAGGACAGAAATTGCACAGGAGGAGACTGCCCATCTTTTTACTGCTGAGCAGCTCATGTGAATTCAAATTGTGTGCTTTCAGGTTGGCAATGCAACCCCTTATAACTAAGCAGGCTAATAATTTTTACAAATACATCAATATAACATGCAACACATACCAACAATACAAAATGTTCAAATTTCTGTTGTTTCAAATACTATTCTTTTCAGACATTTGCTTTTCAGGCTTAACATTTTACTATTTTTTTTATGAAATGATTCATCAACAAATGAGCCATTCAAAGGTCTCTAATCACCCACTCCAATATATTCAGAACATGCATTTAGTCATATATAAGCAACAACCAAAACCAAAAACACTCTGTTCCGTCTCAAGACTTAAAATCGTTACTGTATTATTATCAACTTCTACATAGAAAACATTATCAAAGATTTACAATTATTATCATACCTCACTTTCCAGATCATCAGCAACCATTACTTCCTAAATTGAAAAAGAAAGAGAAAAAAAAATTAATTCCTGACAGTTCACCTCGTCCATTTCCTCTCTCCTCTCTAAACCCACAGTACCAAATATCATTCAGTCCTTTACTATTATCACACATCTCAACTATTGATAACTGTCTTTTCTTCTTGCTACTAACATTTGTATTGTCAAATACCTCAAATATTTATGAATATATAATGCACTGTTTCAATACTTTAAATACTATTAATATCAGTAGTAGCACTATGCTTGCTCATTTACTTGAAAGGAATATATATTCTCTATTAAGTTTGGTATTAACCATATGTGGATATTAAATCAAAATGGTTCATTTTATTTGTTCAAAGATGTTGTTATCATGAGCTTTCCTATGGAGAAACTCTCACATTAAGGTCCTGGTCCCAAATAAGATACAAGCTGATTTTATCTAGTTTAGCACCCACAACCGGGATGACTTGAACATGAGAAGCCTGCTTCATCAAGTCAATTCAGACTCAAAGAGACCCTGTTGGACAGAGGAAATTACCCATAGAGCTATCAAGGCTGTAACTCATTACAGAGTAGACAGTCATGTCATGCCATATGATGACTGGTGAGTTTGAACCACTGATCTTTTGGTTAGCAGCTGAGTACTTGAAGCACTGAGTCATCAGGGCTGCTTCTAAATATGAAAAGTGTTCACTAACCATATTTTATTAATGACTGTTGTTGTTAGGTGTCATGGGTATTAAGACAATTCCGTCCCAAGGGCTCACCATGACTGAGGAGGATTACTTTTCATAAAATTGCTCTTAGATGTTTTAAATTATGCAGGTTACTTACCTCATTCAGCTGTAGTTGTAAACCATTGACTTTGTCCAGCAGTATTCTTTGTTCTTGTTGAATTTTTCTCAACCTTTCTTTCAAATCTTCATTTTCAATCTCCAGATCCTAGAAAAATAAACTACGTATATGACCATTCTTCAAATATACTCTTACACCAGAAAGTTTAAAGAACAGTCCTTTATCTCTTGCAGTTGTACATACAAGTGTTAAGTCAAAGAGAGTCAATAATTTGAATAACACTCAAATGACTTAAAATTTGCAGATCAGAATGAATATAGAAAATTCTTATTTTTTGATACCTGTTGTTTGATAGTGAGTCTATTCTGACTCACAGTTGACTGTGTGTGACAGAGTAGACCCACTCTCACTGGGTTTCCTAAGCCGTAGTCTTTACAGAAACGAATGGCTAGATGTTTACTCTCACAGAGTGGCTATTGAGTGCAAACTACTGACCTCTCACTCAGATGCTGCACACTTAACCATGCGCCACCAGGATTCCTTCTATGATGTCTAATAAATACAACTATCAAGAATATAGCAAATCTACATTTTTTTCCAACAAAAACTAAAAGCATTATCTGGAAATTAAAAAACCAAAAAAGAATACATGTGTCAATATAATAAACTATTTTCAGTACTTTAATATCTTTGCTTAATAAATTTCCAAGTAGATTATTCTAATGCCTTTTTAAAATAATCAGTACTTCAGTGCTCTGATGAAATATTTAAAGCTACTGAAGAACAGTACCATAATTCATTTTTAATACTATGGTAAACTATGATCAAACAGGAAAGTGCAAATAAAATGTCCTGTCATCATGTAGAAAATAGCTCTGGAAAACATCTATTTTCATGATGTTTCAAACATAAAGGAAGGACTGCTGGCGCAGTCCATAGGCATCTAAGCTAATTCACAGGGAGCATCCGTCTGGTGGTTCAAACCCTCTAGCAGCTCTGTGGAAAAGAGATGTGCAGTGTCCTCCCCTGTGATTTAGAGTCGCCACCTGAAGGCCCAGTTATGAGTCAGTACCCATTTGACGGCAATGAATTGAAAACAAAAAATTCAATCATAAACGATCTAATCTTATAATCCACATAATTATTTTTGAAGATTTTCATAAACATAAAAGCTGCAAAGTCCTGTGTTGTTCACTTAGTGTTATTATTTTTCTTTTAATTATTAATTGGGTGAAAGTTTACAGAGCAAACAGGTTTTCCAGTCAACAACTGCTACACATTCTGTTTCATGGCCTGGATTGCCATCCCCACAATACACGAGCACTCTCTTACTATCACCTTGTGTTTACCTTTTCCCTTCACCCTTCTTTTCTATCCCTGTCTGCTTTCTGACCTTTATCCCCAGGTAAATGCTGCCCACTGATCTCCCATGGTTGATTGATTCTAATGAATGCATAGCTCGGTGACATTACTGTTCATATACTTAAACAAAAAAAAGTTTCATTTTCTTTGATTCACATTAATTGCATCACTTTAAGGAGCCTAGGTGGCACACAGGCACAGTCAGCGGCACAGCCCACAGAGATGCACCTTCCTGTCAGTTCAGATCCACCAGCAGTTTGACAAGAGAACCATTTACGGCTGCGGAAACCCACGAGGGGATCAGTGATCAGCTTGGATTCAGTTTGAACTTGAAGGCAACAGTTTGAGGGTTTGGCGTGGCTGCTAATCGAGATGTCAGCAGTTTGAGCCGCCAGCTAATCTGAGAGAGAAGAGACCTAGTAAGAGTACAGCTTTAGAAAATGAGACCGTTTTACTCTGCCCCCACTGAGCAGCCCTGGTGGCAGAGTTTGTAACGAGTCAGGCTGTTAACTGAAAGATGGTGATTGAAATCCACAAGCTGCTCAGAGGAGGAAAGATGAGCAGTCCCCACCTGTAAGCCTCCCAGCCTCGGAAACCCAACAGTAGGCTGCTGTGAGTGGGGACTGACCGACAGCAGTGGCTCCCGGGGTATGCGCTGTGAATGGCTGGACAGCACACCACAACAAACCAACACTTTATCAGTGTAATTAACAGCGTCCCAAAACAACTGCAGCAGATGGTTTACATCATAAAGACAGATGCATCTAAATTAACAAAGGCTTGCATAAAGATGGTCATTTAATATTTGCTTCTGATAAAGTATACCAAGAAAGTAATACTTCCTATACCACAAATCTAATGTGATATATAATTATACCAACACAGACACTTACACCAAAAATCAGTTTTTTAAGAAAGGATTGACCAAGAAAACAAAATCTTAAACCAAAACCACCGGCTTCCCTTTGCACAACTCTTCTTCTCCACATTTTGCTCCCATTTTTCCTCCCTCTAGTCCTGGGATTCTTTGTTTAAAATAATTTTTTTTTCTCTCTACCTGAAAGGTTGGATGCTCCCTCTGATTTGACTTGGTGCTTACTTCTTCTTGCACATGTGTCAAATGCCGCTTGGTAAAACATAAGAAAACACAGATTAGCAACAGCATGCTTAATTGGTGGGTTTCCATTTATGCAACATTAAATTTTGCTCTACATAACACAAGGTGGCAGCATTTCCATTTACAACTCCAAAATGGAAAGCATTTTCAAGTACGTGACATTTAAATAAAGCAAGTACAATTTACACTTAAATGCTAAACGATGACAAAATTGAAAATACTAATTGTTACATGATGGCACATAACAACAACAACTGTTACAAATCTGTTTTACAATGAAAGTCACTAAATTTGAAGCAGGAGGATTTGTTCTAGGTACAAAGTTACACTAGAAAGTGTCACAATCATTTCCAAAGATGATGCGGGGGGTGGCAGGCTGGCAGGGAAGCAGAGTTACATTAATGTTGACAGAGATATGGAAATTGTTTCCTTCTCAGAGCTCTGCTGAAATAAAATATGAAGGGGCATATGGGAGAGACAGACGCAATCTTTTGACCCGAGCTAAATAAAAGCTCTCTAAACAACTTGGAAAGGCTTATGTTCTGGTTTTGGATACTTACTGCTTTGAAATATTACTGTAGCTTTGAGTGTTGCTTTAACAAAATCATAACACAATTATTAAACAAGGGAACAAAAACGGTTGGTTTTTTTAAACCTGAATTAACTTTTATAACTGCACAATTTAGAAAGCTATTTCTTTAATCCTTTATGAGAGGTTTTTGTTGTGTGGGTGGAGTTTTTTAAAATAAAAGCTAACGCTATAATATTTTCAAATATTATTTCCATGTTTGATATTATGTTTGATTATGTATTTGGGAATTTTTTTTTTTTCAAATTAACCTTTAAAAATCTCATTTCGGTCTATTTAAAATTTTTTAAAAACTATTCTTCTAGTAAGTGTGAGTTTGGAATGTAAGGGAGATGATTCCCCCCAAGAAGATACTCTGCATACACAATTTCACCTCAACTTCATTTCTCGTCCATCTCTTCTCCCCAGAGGACTGTTTTTCATGTGAAAGCTAACCTGTCTCCCCATTGCTCACCTCCACACATTACTCGCATTCCAAGCCTTTCTTTCTCAACATCCACCTTCCACTCTTCACTCCAGCCCAGCTTAGACTTCCTAAATCCGCCAATCCTGCCCTAAACCATTTCCTTGGTGAAGCCTCACCATGCTGGGTGAAATCTCTCACAGTCCTCTGACCCACAGAGCAGTGGAGATCTGAGTACTCATCTCCTATCATATACTATTAGTTATCAGTGGATGTATGCCCATAGGCTATATCATACAAAGTCCAACATAATCTTGTGCTGACTATCTCAGAAGTTGCTTCCCTGGCCACCACCCAGCATGCACACCTGGTCTTGTCAGTCTGGTCTTGCGCAGCTCTGTGGACATGCTAAGATGCTCCCTCATCAAGCAGTAGGCACTTCTACTTCTTTGTCTATAAAACTTCCATAGAGTTCCTGGCTCCCTTCCTCACATACTCGGCCCTCTACTCAAAGGTCACATCTCTAGTGAGGCCTCTGCTGAGCACCCAACCGAAAATAGTCACCACTCCCCCTCAACCTTCAGCCCTTAATACTGTATAGATTTTCTTCATTTCCTCTGTTACAGCACTAACTATTCATTGGCCAATTGCTCATCTCTGTCACTAGCCTGGGAACTCTAGGAGGGCAGGGCCTTTGTCTGGTATATACTACAATAACCCCAACACTACAATTGTAGTTGGTGTAACGTGGGTGCCCAATAGGTATTTGTTAAACAAACAACTGAACAAGTCTTATTTTCATGACAACACTAGATTGCCTAATAGCAGGAATTTTAGGTCTCTGAGTATAAGAATAAACCTCAATTAGATGCTCAAGAAATATATTCAACATTTAATGGACATAAAGTCATTTGAAACCATGAGTCTGGTTCCTAGAAGAATACTAACTCTATTCATGCAGATAATCACCGGGCTGAGTACTTTTCCCATTGTTATTGTTGTGAGCCATCTAGTCAGAACTGACTCATAGGTGACCCTCCAGCAGGTTTTCAGAGGTTGTAAATCACACAGGAGGAGGCTGCCCATCTTTTTCTCGAAAAGGAATTGGTAGATTTTTTAACTGCCTGCCTTTGGGTTGGCACAGGAACTCCTTACCCACTAGGCCAACAGAGTTCCCTACAGTTCCCATATTAATATTAAATAATAATTTCCATTATCTTACAGCTTAGAGGAATTTTTTTTCTTTGATTCTATGAGATAATTGGCACCGTTCACACAGGGTAGGTTTCATGTCACTCTACCCACACCCAATCTGAAGAATGAGGGAGGATGTTGGAACAGTTGCTCCAGATGGAAAAGAAAAAAGTGTCAACAGACATAATACATGCATGAATAGATCTCTTAATTCTAATGGATTAACTAGGAAAGCATGCTTTTCTATAGCTTTCAGGGTCAATGAAGGAGAGAGATGATGCAGAATGATGATCAGAATTTGTCAGAAGATACCTGAGAACTTTCTCTCCAGGATTTGGAAGTACTTGGGTTCCTCTCAGTAGGGAAAAGTGGAAAAAGCCTGGGAGGAACAGTCAGCAGAAGAAAACTGCCTGTTCTAACTTCTGAACAAGATGGGGAGAATGCTGCAACCCTACTTACGTGGACTCAAAGAGAATAGAGGAAAACAAACATTTATTCAAACTGAGAAAGCAAGCCAGGATTAAACAATGAGTTGATAAAGCTAGTGTGAAAAGTACCCAACAAGACAGGAATCATTTAATGTATTGTGTGTTTATTACTTTCAAGTCAAGCTCTTGGTTAGGTTAAAGACAAGTCGTTTCCAGAGTACAAACGCTTTCTATTACTTTGAATTTGTACCTTAGTTGGTAGAGTTATTCTGGTTTGCATCTAACATCAGTCAAGTTTTTGTCTTAGTAAAACATCGTTAGGATATAGCAATTGTAATTACAATAACAATTTATGCCTGTCACAAAGTAGCACTCATTTATTACAGCAAACCATTGTATGTACTTAAAAAATTTAATGTACGTTTTATAGGCTTTGTTCATCACCATAAGTTGTACATTTATAAAGTCAGATGTTTGGAACCCAGGGAAACCTTGTACACATATGGGGGGAAAACCTAAAAATATTAAGCAACACTAAAATCACAATGTGTAATCTGTTTTTAACTGTCTTCTTCACTATGCAATGCACTAAAAAACTTTTCCAATAACAGCAAATGTTTATTAACACACTATGCCGCCAGGGCCCCATCTGTTACTATTTAAGAACAAAGGAAAAACTGTCTATGACCTTCCACACTAAAACCCATCATTTTAAGAATCTCAGTATGATGCAGTATCTTGTACTTGAAGGGACTGCATGGCCAAGTCCGACAAATAGGAGGCAGTTTATTTCCCACTGGATACATTCATGGGAGATCCACTCTCTTAAGCTGAGTGTCTTGATAAGGCCTCTGAGCTTAAGCTACACACTACATAAGCATGACTAACTGAAGGTGCAACCTGCCTTTAAACTTAAGACAGTTATGCATAACTACGGACCAGTCTTACTAACCACTTTAATTACATAATACATCATTTTTAAAATTAAACTTAAAAGCTACCTGTTGCAAAGATGGTCCTCTCTTCCAAAGTTCTCTCCCTAAGGTATAGAGAAAGAGAAGAAAAGGATCAGTGACACTGACGCTCAAGTTGTATTCCTTGACTACACAGTTTAGAAGGAATACTATAAAAGTATATTTTAAAGCTCCCCCTCATGCTTATTACCTTTCGGTCTTATCTCCAAAACTTAAGCTTAAAATAGCAGTGGGAGCAGTTTTTCCTATCAAATCAGCAGTTACTTCAATAAGACAGTATGTAGATATATCATAAATACTGGGGAGAGGAGGCAGATAAAAGATGAGAAATTTGACAACATAATTTGGCAACATATTAGAAGCTTTTAAAAGCATACATCATTGTAACCCAGGGATTCAATCTGTAGGAAGTAACCAGTAAGAGTTAATATGCTTAAATCTTTACTTATGAGGACATTTACTAGACTAGGTTTTGTTGTTTTGTTTTTAAAGCAGGGAAAACTACAAACAATTTAAATGACACCTAAAACCTACAGAAAATTCATTTTCACTGTCATAATAATAATGTAGCCATTGTTGCTGTGCACTGCTGAGCCACTCTGGACCCCTCTGGATAAAGCAGAATTTCCACACAGACTCTCCTAAACTGAACTCTTCACAGGAGCAGATCACCAGGCCTTTTCTCCTCTAGAGTAGAAGTGGGAGCCTTTAGCCAGCAGGCAAGCACTCAGACATTATGTCACCAAGACACTTAATAAGACTGTGAATGTCTTCATTCATTTACAAATAAGTAGAATTTTAAGCATCAGTAAAAACCACAAAAAAAAAATTATGAGGTAAAGCCTGCACAATGTATTGCGTAGAAGACATAAGCTACCCACAGTATTAATAAGGGTTTCTCAACCTTATGTTTATGAAAAAGACAAAGATAATCCTCAAAATATTCCTTGGTTGTAGGCTCTGTGATTATTTGTTGTGTCAGTTTCTCTTGAACACACAGATATTCAACAAATATTTATTGCTGAATATTAATATTTAAACAATAATTCTTCCTTTTAATCTTTGCCAGTATAAGCCTCACCACTTCCCGTACTCAAAAATTTTTATGTGTGTGTGTACACCTGTGTACAAGTTTTTATTTGATTCTTCCTCAATTACTCTATGGTGTATCAGGGTTGGCTCAACAAACTAGATTATGTATGCCACACATTGGCCTCAAAACAATGACTAAATAAAATCTGTGAGAGAAGAAGATGAAGAATGTTCTGTTTCTTTATGTTGTTCTATTACCTAAATATTTAAAAGTTGCTTTTCTTAAGGATTTCTCTAATTAAAGAAAATGGCTGGTACCTCTGTTGGTATTTTCAGACGCATTCTTCAATAAGGTCAGAATGTCCAGATTATCACCAATTCTTGCATAATAAGAACTATCATGACCCAGGCTGTCCAGTAAGCTCACATCAGCACCATTTTTTATTAAGACTTCTACTGCATCTTTGCATCCATATTCACAACCTAGCATAAGAGCAGTTCTAAAAAGGAAAATGAAGAATTAAAGACCTTAAGAAATATTAAAGTAAGTATTTCAGAAATATTCTGCCAGAGGCCCCTTTCTTAAAGTATGTTGTTATTATGTGCAGTCGAGTCAGAAACTGACTTACACCTGATCCTCCAGCAGGCTGTCAGTGCCAGTAAATCACATGGAGGAGATTGCCTATATTTCTCCTGCTCTTACAAATACTACTTAAAAAAAAGCATACCTTTTACAAATACAGAGTTTACACTTTCCATATTTTATCATCATTTATAAAAATGTGTGGTGTGCTTTGTGTATTAAGTGTCCAGCGCTAAAATTTTACATCACTTTTTATCACTTCTACTAAACTCATAAATCTCATTTATTAGAATAAAGATCTTTAACACCTTTTAAATGATTGCCACAAAAACCTTTCACAACTGATAATCTCACTACATTAGCATTCTGCTCAAAACCTACAATAAACCCATTTAAGGTCCTACAGGAAATACATCATGGAAATGTCTCCCAATAAATTCTTCCTACTTCAAAATAAAGAATTTAATACCTATTTTTTTTATTTCCCAGAATTATGTTACTGATAAAATTTGCATTCCAAGTGTTGGAGAAAGTGAAACAAAATTAAAAAAATCAGTCATGGAATTGTACAATTTGATGGACGGTGGGGTGAGGGAAATTGGAAGATTCTGTTCTTGAAAACAAAACATTCTAATTTTGTAAATAATATTTTTTAAAATGCATAAAAAAATCCCCAAAATAAAACTCCAATAACTAAATAAACTATATGTGCCTTCTCAATTAAACCTTCCTCAATTTACCTCAAGCTAACATGGACCTTTGGCTTACATCATCTTATAGTGAAGGTGTAGCACAGTGTGTTACTTAATATTGTTCTTAGGTTCAGACTTGATAGCAATGAATGACTGGGTGGGACAATGCACATAAGGTCCATTTCCCCCCCACCTATGCATATACAGCAATCTTTTGTATGTTTGCTGAACTGAACAATTTGATGTTGCTGTGATGCTGCACACTGTTCCATAGTCTTGTCAAATACCATAATGGTTTCCCATTATGTACAATGTTTGGATGAGGTTCCAGAATGATTTATGCTGGGAAGCAGGAGTAGCATCCACTTCCTAAACTAGATGTTTCTGGAAACTCAACCAACTCTCTAAACTATATAAAGGTACAGAAATTATGTTAGTTATAGAAAACAGTTCAGGTCTTTTGTGCAAAGCTCTCAGTCATATTCGACTTGACAACATTTAACCACTGCTAAATGAGACTAGTGCTCTTATATTTGGAGGAACACTCTTCCACTTTGTACATAACTCTTTGTCAATGTGCTGTATGAAGTAACTTGAGTTTGTTGTGATGCTGAACCTTGTGCCATTGGGTATCAAATACAAGAATGGTTTCCCAAAGTGGACAGTGTTTAGTGGAGCTCCCTGTTGTAAAACAGGTTTGGAAGCAGGAGTGGCATCCACTTCCTAAACCACATGCCTCTGGAAACTCTATGAACTTGGAGAAACGACAATAGTTATGGGAAAGCAATAGGTCTTTTGTTCATAGAGTCTCTATGAGTTGGGCTTGACTCAATGGCAATCAACAACAACAACAACATGCATATATATAGGGAGTCCTGGTGCCCTAGAGGGAGATCTAGTACCCTTGTGGTAAGAAGCTATGCTGCAATCCCAAAGACACACGGTTTGAATCCACAGGAGAAAGACAGGCAATCTCCTCTAATGCGATTGACTGCCTCTGAAAACCTGCTGTAGAGTCAGTTATGGATCAGTTCCAACTCAATGGCACACGACAACATGGTGGCCTAGTGGTAACAAGGTGCGCTGCGATCCCAAAGGCATGCAGTTCAAATGCACCAGCTGCTCTGCAGGAAAAAGACTGGCAATCTCCTCCAGTGGGGCTGACTTACTGCCTCTGAAAACCTGCTGGAGGGTGAGCTAGAAGTCTTCTGACTCAAAGGCACACAATAACATGCAATGTTTATTCAAATTCTCTAACATTCCACTCTCATTAGTTACTAGTCTAATATTCTATATATAACAGGCATCAATTAAGTTTTTATAGTAGAGGCTTAAAGTGCCAAAGTTAAAACAGAAGAAGAAAAGAAACAAAGTATTGAAAACTAAGATTATAGTTTATTTTAAAACTATCTACTACCTAGTCTACACAATATACATTGTTTCAGCACTATGTTTTTCTGTCCCATCAATGGGAAAACATAGGTAAGAGTGCTTAGAAAATGAAAAGATTTATAAAAACATAAGGTATTATGCATGCAACAACTATATCATCATTCTATGATCCTAAAAGTTATTTTTAAGTTATTTTGTTAGTCAGGCTTAGAACCTGATTAGAGTATCAGTAAAAAAATTACCACTCCCTTGAGAATCACATTAATGATTTAATGGCTGAAGAATTTCTTCCTTTGAGATATCTGAGCAATAAAACAATCAGATCTAGAAAACTGTCATCTAATGAGGATTTTATCACATTTATTTACTTCTAAACTTACAAACAATAGGATGCATGTTTAAAAGAATAAAATCCATCAAAACAAAGTAATGATCTCTTTAATAATAATCTATAAAATACTAGAAGTTTTGCTTATACCTTTTTGTAATATTTCAATTAAGAGAAGGAATGTATTTCATACACTTTATTGTCAGAAACCTTGAGATACAAATAGCTGAATTACAACACAGTAACCACTAAGACCCAGGAGGCCTATGCAAGGAGAAAAGGGAGAACTACTGATAGAAATGATTAGTACATACTTAATAAATAATACACCCAAGCAAAATGTCATTAAACTAAAAGAAGCAAAATCAAACAAAGGGAACCTTGACATACAGATATCTCAGTTTGGGGAAAGAAGCTGCATGACAACCAGGCAGAGTTACATTGAGAAAATACATCGGAAGTAGAATAGGCACCCTATTCTAGGTGTACCGGCTCAAAAAGATTCCCTTGAGGACAGGTAAAGTGTAGACATAATATTTTTGTATTCTTCTTTATATTTTATCTGCTATAATTTCTTGCGGTGGGGGGAATCCCTTTTTAATGTCATCTAACTGAGACATAATTCTGCTTTCTTTTAGTTCATTGACCTGAACACAGACCTTAATCATTGTATTTACTCAGCATTTATCCTGTCATCTTTCACAATTTCCTTCTCTATTCTTCTTCAGCAGACTCTGAAGAGAAGTGAGACGTAGGAGCAAGTGCCAAGAAAGTGCAAGCCATGGAAGGAGAGAACCCAGGAAAGGCCAAGGCACAGCAGCAGAGTTTCATAACCAACCCGTATCCAACTGCTGTCTGGGGAACCATGAGAAAAGAGTTACTTACCTGTTTTGTTTGTCTCTGGAATTAATATCCGCTCCTCTGTCTATTAGCAGTTGACATATTGTTGGCCGACACATCTGAGTAGCCAGAACAAGTGGTGTTCGCCCATCCTAAACAACAAATGAAATAAGACAGCATTAACACAGCAAGTTTCTGAAAATGTGGAAGTTAGAATACATGAGTGGAAATGAGAGTAAACACAATCTGACTTACTACATCTCTGGCATTCACAGAGGCCCCATGGTCACAGAGCAGCTGAATGCTGGAAGGACAGTCTGCCATAGCTTTGGAGAACAAAGAAAAATGATGAATTGTGAACAGCTGTTGGTAAGACACATGGTGTGTTTTGCTACAACACACTGCCCATATAAGGCATGAGTTCTTGAATTTCTAAACTACCAAACTTCACATTTCTCATTCTCAGTTTAACATTATAAGCATCATTTTTTTTTAAATCTCAAGACCTTTTATAAAAGATTTTGTATTATTTATTAGGACTAAGGAATATTATCAGCCTTGTAAAAGCCAAGAATGTACTATTATCCTAAGAATAAAATTTTATTATTAGATATCAAACTTGAATTTTCTATTTCCATGTATACTTTTAAACATGTCCATTAACTGATTGAATCTTTAAAAGTCTAATTGAGATATTTCCCTAAAAAACATTTTTTTTTTAAAAAATTATTATAGAACAGCCATAATGACTGTTTTGTCACATACAATTTATATATATCTCTTTTAAAAACAGACAGAGTCCTAGTGGCATAGTGGTTAAAACGTTTGGCTGCTAATTTCAAGGTCAGTAATTTGAACCCACCAGCTGTTCTGTAAATGAAAGATGAAGCCATTTGCATCTGTACAGATTTACAGCTTTCAAAACTCTATAGGGTAATTCTAAACTCTATAGGGCAGTTCTGGGATGCTATGAGCCAGAAGCAACTTGATGGCAACCCATTGTTGTTGATTGCCATCGAGTCAAGCACAACTCATAGCAACTCTATGAACAAAAGACCTGAAGCCTTTCTATAACTATCGTCATTTATCAAAGTTCACAGTTTCCAGAGGCATGCTGTTTAGGAAGTGGATGCCACCGCTGCTTTCAAACCTATCTTAAACTGAGAGCGCCACCAAACACTGTCCACCATGGGTAACCATTATGGCATTTGAAACCCCAATGACACAAGGTTCCACACTCCAGCAACCACAGTTTACCTCAGTACAGCATATTGACAGAAGAATGCTGTAGCACTTAGAAGAATGTTCCTTCAAAATAACAACCAACTATTAAATACAAAGGCCCTCCCCGAAGTCTTCTTGACTCTAAACAAGAAGTTTAAATTAAAAAAAACACCAATATAGTATGTTGAGTCACCTGCGACATACAGCGACCCTATGTACAGCAGCTCTGAACCCTTCCCTGTGCTGAGCCAGTCTCACTAATTCTGACACACCAACCCCCATTGCCCCAGTTACTATATCAATCCATCTCATCCAGGGTTTCCCTCTTCTGTGCTGTTCTTAGAGACTGAAAAAAAAAATCTACCCTGTGTAATATGAAGGGATACAATTTGTTAAAATTACCTTACATTATGCTTTTTCACTAATATCAGCATCCTCATTTGTACCATTAGGTGCTATTGAGTCAACTATAACTCGTATGACCATACAAACAACAGATGGTAACTGCCCTACCCTGCACCATCCACATGATCTCAATCAGACTCAAGGCCATTACTGCAGCACTGTTTCGTTCACCTTGGTGAGAGTTTTCCTCTCTTTTACAGACCCTCTATA